CCAAAACCCCTGTCCGTGGGTACTTGTCGCAGTACTTGTGGCAAGGAAAACTACCCATGAATAAATACAGCTGGATTAGTCCACAAATGATTACTTCCCTTGCATTTCTGATTTAACAGGGGTCAGGTATAACAGGACTTTATATGGAAGTGGTTATTCGCACCGAGTGTGCGCATAAAAATTTATATTATTCGCACCGGGTGTGCGCATAAGAATTAATATTATTCGCACAGGGTGTGCGAATAAGAAATAATTATATTCGCACAGGGTCGACCCGACCTGCGCGCTGCACGAGATCGTTGCGCGCTGCGAACGCTGTGCGAGATTGGCAAATGCCGCGAGAGTCCGCGAAACTAGGCAGTCTTGGCCTATATAATAAGCTTACCTGCGTGGCATTTTCATTTTTCAAAACAGAGCCCTGAGAGAACCTTGCCAGTAGCGTTCTGTTGGCCCCAAGGCTATTGCATCGCAAATCTGAAATTACTCAACACCTAGATCTAGATCTAGTTCTTCTAGATTTATTCTCAGCATGGAAGTGGGAGCCAAGTTCAAGAGCTTTTCAGAGTTCACAGAGGCTCTGAAAGAGTATGAAAGTACTAATAACACAAAATTTGTGGTGACACGATCCACTAAAATTGGCCAAACAGACCCCTTGAGTGCTGTATACGTGTACCAGTCGATCCGGTTCCAGTGCAAGCAGGGGCAGCGCCACCATTATTGTATTCTTTAAATAAATAAACATAAAAAAAAAAAAATCAAAGGTGCAAATGCACATTGTACAAGTTCTATCTAAACGTACACATGTGTACATAATTTTGGTTGACGGCAACTTGAGTGGGGGGGGGGGGGGGGGGGGGTGTCCTGGGAAAGATTACAAGAGGGGTGGGGTCATTTGTGAACAGTCCCTAAAAGTAAAACTGCAATCATTCGGCCATAAATAATATGATGTATTACTACAGAGTTACTACATAAAGTTGATTTTGGACCTCATTTGTCACACCCATGTATCCCACCTTTAGTTTTAGGCTAAGGGTTTTAATTTTGGAAAGAACTGGGAATAGGCCAGAATTGTTCCCGTGTCACTGGGATGAGGCCAAGAAACTATTCCCACTGACACTGAGAACAGACAGGCCCATTAGATGTCTAGATCTATTGTTCCCACTATGATCTACATGGGCATGATGATGGGTTACTAAATAAAGATTATACACATGTACTTTTCTTTATCTAATGTAGATCTAGATATATTTAAGAGTAGATTCTGGTGTGAGTGGAAGAATTTTTTTTTAAAGAAAGGAATGGTCATTCTATGCTTGCTTGTTATTCATCATGTATATATATATTAGATCTAGATCTAATACGGATTATGGAGACCACGGTACAGGACAGGTAAAAATCCTTCCCGATTCCCCATTTCTTCTAGAATCTAGACTACGGTCAAGTCTTGGCCCAAGTAAGCGAAGAGAAGAAAAAGTCTGAACTGAATTGAGAAGACAGCATAGCTACAGTACGCGTTAGAAACAAATCTAGATACCTCCACCATGTCTCCCCCTCTTTTCACTGGTCTGGTAAACTTCACCCGCGCCTCTATCGTCTCTCATTAGTCTCATGGTACCTCTTAGGCCTAGCCTAGGCTGGCAATGTGGGTCCACTATAAAGTAAAGTTCTTGGGCAGAGCAAACTATAAAATGTTCCTGGTCCACTTTTCTGTTTATTATGAATGATTTGCATGTGGCAGCCCCCCCCGGACTGTCGAATACTAGATCTATAAGTATCCTAATAACTTAAGTGCAGAAGGTGCGGTCCACCAAAAATTAGCGTACTACGACTAATTCAGAAAACCAGGAACCTGCTGGTCCATCCTCCACTTAATGGTCTCCCTCCGCTGCCTCCCCCTCAAAAGAAAAGGAGCAAAAATAAGCCTACGACTACGACATGTAATCAAGAAAATCAGGAACCTGCTGGTCAATCATCCACTTCTGGTCTCCCTCCACTGCCTCCCCCTGAAAAGAAACAGCGGCTGGGATCAAGTAATACTAATATAATATAATAGTGACAGGGTCCCCACCAAATCCCGGAACATTTTTTCAAGACCCCCAAATTTTTTTCAAGACCCCAATTCGACGGAAAAATCAGGCCGCTGCGCGTCAAGAATGATCCCCAAAAAGCCCATCTATCAAAGATAAAAAGTCAAAATGTCTATAGATGAATGCAAATGTACATTTTGTAGTATAGTCTTCAAACAATAGATGACTATAATACTGGGTGACTGCCAAACCAGCTTCTCAATTTTCCAAGGGAGGGGCCTCATCCATTTTCCAGGACGTTACATAACAATGAAAGCATGAAAGCGTGTGCTCCATTTATATATCTAATATAATACATGTATATGTTTTTGTGAATACACACACACACACATGTAGGTACATTATATCCAGTTAACAACATGTCAGTGTGGCACTGGGATCTTGAGAGACTTTGGTATTTCAGTCTGTTCTTACTTATTTATATTTTCCCATCATCATATTAGCCAACATAACAAACTATAGGCCCTATATTTAAAAAAATGAATCCTGTTTTGAGCCTGAAAAAAGACCTAGATTTAGAACTAGAAAATCGACTGTCAATAACCAGTCTGGGTGTCACGATTCATATATATATATATATATAATAAACGTGAAGACGAAAACCATTGCTGCAACTCAAAGTAGAGTAATAACTAGAATGGCTCAAGTACACATATATTCAGTGTGAGGTGCAAGATGCAGTGACACTGAAAATCTGCCAGTCTTGAACAGAAAGCTAATAAAATATATAGATAATTACAATCACTCCATCCAATGAAACGCGAACACTTAGTTCAATAACAAGGCATGACGGATCCTGATTCCACACAAGGCCTGCACCAACGCGCGCTTTGCAGAGAGCTCTAAAGTAGTAATCAAAATGCTAAAAAATTTGCTTCCAAATTCAGTTTTTGTCCTCTAGCGTTGCCTTCAGCTCCCCCCCCCCCCCCCAATCCCCTTCCATGAGTGTATCTTATAAAGGAGTCCAATACTTCACAGCGCTCAGACCGCCGGTACTCACGGGTTCATTGACCGGTCACGAGGGCGAACCTGTCAAGACGCTTGTATAACTTCTTTTTTCCACAAGCGACAGCAGAGGGCAATTTTTAATATATTGATTTATTTTCAAGGCGACACAGCGTTCATAATGCACAACCTGCATGTTACAAATGTTGCGTTATCTATCAGACTATTACCGGAAAATTTCTGGGCAGTAACGAAAGCAGATCTTGATTCTTCCCGACCGAGCCTCGGTGTCACACACACTTCCGTCACAGCGGTTCAATTTCAATTACGTTTCCTCTTTAGGATTCATCAACCATACAGTCTAGATAGCTGCACATTACACAGGCCCTATACTTTCCCGACTTACCGACCCATCACAAAATTCCCGACTACTTTTTCCCGACCCTGTAGTGAGAACCCTGCGCCTGTTCCTGCGGTAAACGTCCTCATCCGACGCCTAGATATTCCGGACTTCGATCTCTTCGGTGATTCGGATAATAAAATGCAGGTCCGTTTAGATCTATAACTTTGTCTCGTCCCCCCTTCTCTCTCTCTCGTGGTATTCTCGCAGCTAGTACTACTCGCACTCGCAGCCCTCACTCACTCCGCCTCGCCGGGAACAAGTCTCACTCACTCCGCCTCGCCGGGAACTAGTTCGCGTAGAGGTCGATTAGGACCCATGAATGTATAATATAAGCAGAGACAATGAACGTTTACGTACATTGTCTCTGGTATAAGTCCGTTGTTTGCCTAGTGCGCATTAATACATATAAACACGGCGGGTCCACCAAAGTTCAATCAACTCTCTAGTTCAATCCAGCCCCTAAGATCTTTGTCCTTGCGCGATGAGGAGAAAAAAATTGAGAAAATGGTAGGCCCGATTCCCTTCCTTCTTTTGAAACACCCTGTGCGAATACAACTTTATAGTATTCGCACACCCTGTGCGAATAAAATTTCATAGTATTCACACACCCTGTGCGAATAACTACGTTTTACGGTGCTCGCAACTACATAAGGTCTTATGAGCGCCAAGGGGTGGGTGTCAACAGAGACGTCTTTACAGGGAATCAGACTTTCACTGGTCACCTCTCTAGCTTCAACAGCACAAGGTCTGCTTCGACTATCAAGGCAACCCGGAAATAGCAAGTCACAGTCACAAGGGAGTGACAAACATACAAAAGAAGTAGAGGAAAATGACAATAGTAAGGATCAGGAAAGAAAAAGCAGCAGTTCCCTGTTGTAGATCAGGAACAGTTATGAGCGTGACATGAGTCAGCCCATTTACAATTCGACTATGCTTGAACAAGAAATGTCCCCCCTTTGGGAATGGCCTAAAGACACTACAATCAGTCAGTGGCACTGCCCCGGGGGGACTGAAGTGTCTTTAGGCCATTCCCAAAGGATGGGCATTTCTCGTTCATGCACAGTAGAATTGTAAATGGGCTGATCCAACAATGTCATGCTCATAACTGCTTTCTTTCCTACTCCCCACTATCGTCATTTTCCTCTACTTCTTTTGTACGTTTGTCATACTCTTGCGACCCGCCATCTCCAGGGTGCCTTGATAGTCGAAGCAGACTTTGTGCTCCCTGTGATCTCCAGTGAATGTTATGGACAGCTTCGACTCGTATTCAATTCACATCAAATCGAGAGGACTTGTAAAGTGAGTTTTAGCAAGAGTTGTTTTGTTTGCATAAAAGTACCTAAGATTATAACAGGTGTTACAAGAGAGTATAACACATAAAAAGGAGAGAAGGACAACGGATATTTGACACGAGAGAAGGAGCAAATCACACATCAACCATCCATTAAAATGACACACAACGCACAGTACACGTACAAATTGAAGGGAGAACGAACGCTAATGCTGAAATGACAATATAATCACAGAAACAGGCTTCACACAGTCTACACAATAAATAAACAAAATTTGCCTGTTCTCAAACAGTTTATTCACATTGACCAAACTCCTGATCTCAGCTTATGACCGGGCGACCTGTCTGCTCCTCCAGGCATCCAAGGGTCCGTGGTTGGGCTTGTACTGGCAGTTGACACCATCAGGCACCAGGATGCCGTCAGCACGCATCTTTTCGTAGTCTTCCCGTGGCCACTTGGTGAAGCCCCACTTCTTGGAGATGACGATCTGCAATGGAAATTTTTTTTCGCACTTTATACAGTGCTTCTACTAGCTGAAGCTGAGAAGTAAGGAAAATTCTGCTTGAAGAAATTGAAATTTAGTGCTTTTACAGGGTTGAAAATGGCATTTGGGAGCCTGTTTTAAGAGATAGCCTACAAACCACAACACATTTTTTCACCAAGATCTACATAATATATTTCCATTGATGGCAATGTAACACATTACACCCTAACTCGCCCGGAACCGCCCGCGCCGACCCAGCGTCTTTAGAAACGAAAGTCTCGCCTTGACGAGACTCTGGGGCCGGGATTTTGATTTGCACAGCATAGCAAAAAGTTTCTTCTTTCGTTTGATACCGAAATGAAATTTTTCGGGCCAGTAGTTTTAGTATTAGAGCTGATCGAAGTCTGATCGCGTTACCGACACTTTGAAAGATTTTGATGAAAACGTTGTAGGAAGAGTTTGGGGCGATTCCGATTGATCAGACGGAGAAAATCTAGAATTTAGATCTAGGGCCCGACCGCGAGGCTGAGAGTGAGAGTGAGGGGTCGGACACCCCGATTGAACTAAAGTTAGAACAATTCCAACAGTTTGCGCATACATAAAGTTATATTTTTCTGAAACTACATTCAGTTTTCTTTTTAACTTATTTTTTCAGGATTTTTGGAATTTGTTTAGTATTTTTAAAATGTGTTTTTTAAAGGGTAGTATTCACGGGAGGTGGGTTCTTTCCCCTTGCTTAGGATCTAACAATGGACTTCCCGTCCAGGCCCTTAGGGTGTAATGTGTTAACAGAGGGAGCTGATAATGATTGGGGAGCAAGTGCGGTACTGTCTGAAAGTAAGGATTTCCCTAAAAATATGGAAGATTGGAACCACTGAAATAATTTTTTTTTAAAGTCACGATGAGAAAAAAAAATTCATTACCAACTGCATTCAGATGACTAAAATTTCTAATTCGGACAGAGGTGAAGGAATGGCCTACTAATTCATTACCTTTTGACGTCCTGGGTACTTGAACTTAGCACGCCTCAGAGCCTCCACAACCTGCGGCTCATGTTGTTCACGAGCACGCACCGACATGATTGGCTGTCCGATGTGCACACGTGCAACGGTACCTTGGGGTTTGCCAAAGGCACCTCTCATTCCGGTCTGAAGTCTGTCAAAGAAAAATGAAAGATTAAACACAAATCAGAGGAAGAAACATTTATTGATGGAGGAAAGGGAAAAAGGAGGGAATTTTTTAACAAGAAATTCCCTTCTAAAAACCCAACCGTACAGCTTTTTTATGCACCTGACACTTAAGGTATACTAGAACAGTCTGTACCCTTGTTGCCAGGGGATGCGAGTTCCTATCATAAACAGAGATTTTCAGTTAAGCCCATTAGCTAGGACAGCAGATTAGACATGTGCGTATCAATTGCTTGCAAGCCTAGCAGTAAGCAATTACTTTTGCAAATTTGGTACTGATATTATCCACTTTAAATCCACAATATGAATCCGTGCTGTGTTTGTGACTAATTCCCCACAGAAGAATCAGAGCCAGATCATTAACAGGATGCATGCGTAAGTCTGATAAATTATGCATCTTCGTGATGTAGCCTACAGTGGAATCATGTTATAACGAGAGGGAGGGGACCGAAGCAAAAAGTCCGTTATAGCAGGATTTTCGCTATAAGGGATCCAGTAATAAATTCAAGGGAAACTGTAAAGTAGGCCTAATTAATCTACGAGTTTGGTGTTCCGCTGTGTCTGATTGCGCACGTCACACATTCGCTCCATCCATCACATTGCTGTGACCTCTCCATCCTCGCATCGGAGAAGTGAGAGGCATGGCAGGCCTTGATAATCTAAACTAGGCTTACACTGGCCTATCACGCGATGTGCTCTGCTTGTCTTTGTTTCACAAGATCAGCAACAAGTTTCTCAACTGGCGAGGTTTTGCATTATGTATAATTGGCCTCTATGCCATGTGCACAGCAGCAGCAATATTCCGCTATAACCGACCCGCAAGTGTGTCTGATAGCGCTATAGCAGTATTTTGTATACAAAGGTAAAGAGGAGAAAAAAACTGGGTTTTAGAATAGTGCCTTTATAACAGACCTCGTTTTTTCCGGACTCGTTATGAGTGGACTCCACTGTACTAGGTACGTCATGAGGCAACTAAGCATTTAATGAGCACCTCATTTTGTGACCAGGGATAACAGACAAGCTTGTAAATAAAGCAAAAGATACCATCTTATTAGTCTTTTCAAAACTAACAAGGGGAACAAAATTGATCAATGAGGACTGTGTACAAATAATACCATTGAGCTCAATAAAAATGGGTACTGAACTAGAGAGGGACTTTTGCAACCAAGAGACAAGAAAACCACCCATGCCCATACATAATATTCTAAAGTTGAAATTAGAAGGCACAAAGCATCTTTTATTTCTCCCAAGATAGAGGCAAGCACATGGAATAGATTCTATATTTTTATACAGTTTTTTTTTGTCATACATGATTGATAGGACAGAAGGAGCAAACCACACCAGAGCACTTGCCAACCACCCACTTGCAGGCTTCTTTTGCAAAAACTGAAATCTGCATTTATATGATCTACTGTGTTGCAAATGCAATAAAACTAAAACAAAACAATTACCTATCAGCACCGGCACACGACAACATCTTGTTGATTCGGTTAACGTGGAATGGGTGTAACCGAACCCGTAGGTGGAAGGCATCTTTACCACAGTTCTTCACCAGGTACTTGTTGGCACAGATACGACCTGCCTCAAGAGCTTCAGATGACAGCTGTTCATACTCATCAGAAATCATGTGGATGCATAGTGGAAACTCATCTACACGAGCCCTCTTTCTGCCCAAGTCAAAAATCCTGATCTTAGGATCTGTGGAAGACAATGCAAGTATTCAATATTTGAAGTACTGGTATCAGAAACAACGGAGTTGGTCCCTGATCACTGATAAAAGAAATTAAAATTATGACGAAGGTGAGAAAATCAAATCAGCATCACATACCTGAAGACAGCTTTAGAAAATAAGTACACATGGCCACGATCAACTAACAATAATCCCATAAAAAAAAAAAGTAGATGTTTTACCGCGGTCGCAGCTGCATAAGGTCATTGGAGCGCCAAGGGGTGGGTGTCAACAGAGAAGTCCCTACAAAGAATCAGACTTACTGTGCCCACCTCTCTAGCTTCAACAGCACAAAGTCTACTTCGATTATCAAGGCACCCCGGAAACAGCAGGTCACAAGAGTGTGACAAAAATACAAAAGAAGTAGAGGAAAATACAATAGTAAGGATTAGGAAAGAAAAAGCAACACTTCCCTGTTGTAGATCAGGCAGAGTTATGAGCCTGACATTGAATACATTGACGAATCAGCCCATTTACAATTCTACTGTGCATGAACGAGAAATGTCCCCCCTTCGGGAATGGCCTAAAGACACATCAGTCAGTGCCCCCCCGGGTGGGTAAATAATCTCAACAGAAGTTACAAAATAAACACTACACACCGAACTCCACTGATTTATCAGATCATTTTAGTTTGACACAATGAAGCAGCCCAGACAACATTCCCTCCTATCATGCCACTCATATTTTTTCAAACCATGCGACAAATCTGTGTAAGGAATATCAAGCAGAAAAAACTCAGATAATTTAGATCAGTAAACTACCACACCCGCCTGCTAAACACTCCACGAGAGCAAAAAATTTCCCTTTATTCAAGAAGTCAGGACCGGTAGAAACGGAATTGTTTTTTTTTTAATTAAAAAAAATTTTTTAAAAATGTTCAATTGAGTACTTGGCAGATCTGCACCACAGTGCATGGGCGCGACCAAGCAATACACCAACATTGTGGAATCTAATTTTGCAAAATCCAGCATTTTAAAAATTGATGCTCGCCAGTCAGTTTGAAACTGGCAGCTAGGGCTTTAATGAGATCAGACCAATGTTGGTACTGAGCATTCTGAAAAGAATATTACATGCATTAACAATGTACATAAATAAATTCTGAGGTATGGGGTGTCGAGGAGGCTGACTGGGTGAGGGAAAAGAAAACCACTTTAAAATTTCGACTGCTCTTACAATGGTGAAACATCATCATCAAATTAAGGAAACGAAGCAGCTTGTGGCCTTATACACACACACATACACCCCTAACTAACAGACAAACAAAAGACAGTCAAAGCTCTTTTCTTGTTGTTGTTGTCCCTAGTGGTTTTTGTTGCTGATATAAGCTGCTGTTGTTTCGTTGAAATATTTGTTGCCTCAACTCTACTGTACAGAAAGCCTGTGGATTTTTGCCACACTCTTCAAATCCGCCTTCTCAACTGTTTCAGTTACAGATGATTTTTTCCTAAAAGCAACAAACTTTTCATCTTCAAATTCGTCGTAAGATTTGAAAGGATGCTCTAGAAAGCCTTCCATATTGTCAGGCTGAGACTAGCCGAGATAACTAGGACCATGCTGGGAGAAGCGGAAATGGCAGATATTAGATCTAAATCTAATCATCAACGCTAAAGTGCTCCGTGTTCACCCTGTCGCAATTAACAACACAGCGATAGTTGTGACAGCGTCACTCTGTCGCAATTAACACTACCTTACTAAAAAAAAAAAAGCAACACAGCAGAAAAGTAGACATGCCAACTACTCTGACAAAAAATTAAATTTCTTGGCTCAGATGTAGCCTACTTGGCAGGTAAGGAGAAAAATACTAAAATTGGAAGGATTTCCATAATGGGTGGCAATCCCAACAAACTGAAGAAGGGACCCAACCTAAAACCCCATGGCTACTCGTTAAGAATTCCTCCAACTAAATACATCATACAGTACAACTATGTGTATGACTACGAGACTTACCTGGGACACCACGGCAAAAGCGTGACTTTGGATAGGGCTTGTTTTTACAGTATCTGTAACTGAAAATACACAAACATGAATGACAATCATCTAAATTTCAACTAACCTGATAACATTTAAACTAACAGCCAACCATCTTTCATTCACACTCAGCCACAGTGCGGCACAATTAAACAATAAAAATTGACAATGTGAATCTTGTTCTTTAACATAAATACCCTTACTGCACCATAAGCTAAAAACAATGTTGCACAAAACAAACACTTTAGAGCCTCTGTATTCTGTATTTAGTCTACATTTGTGAGGAGAGATGTCTTCTGGTTACTCCTGCAAGGGCCCTCTCTCAAGACAAGACTCAAGGAGGGGTATGTCGAAACAGTTTGGGATGACGCATAAGAAAAGCGCTGGGACAATATTTGACATAAAAATATATGCTAAATTAAAAACACTATTCTCTTTCAGTTTACTGCGCTCGCAACTGCATAAGGCTCTGTCCACACTGCGAGCAGAGCGGAGTTGTTTGAGGCGCTAACATTGGGTTGAGCGGAGAGGGCTGTGCAATGCAACGTCACGTGGCATATTTTCAAATCGGTTTCAGTTGCCCAAGGATATGAAATGATTGGCGTTATTTGTCCTGGTCGATGAGGAGACTCAACAGATAAAAAGCAAGAAATAGGTGCACCCGAACAACTGACTGCAAATTCTTCCATTGATATCTAAATAAAAAGAGGGTACAGTGAAAAAAGGATCAGAATAATACGAGAGAGAAGCATCTAATTTCTTTTTAATTTCTCTCATGCTTTATCTGGTGAGTGGGAAAAAGGAACATAATAATAATCATAGAATCCCCAGCATGTTTAAAAACAAATCGACGATAATATCTTGAGTTTTGCAATACACAAGAGTTTTAAAACACATAAACGCACGCATACATTGTCTCACGAAGAGGACCCGTGTTCGATTCCAAAGTAAGCAAGAATTTTTATCAAGCATTTCGTTTTTTTCTGGTTAGACGTTATATTCACTCTCAGCCAAGGTTGTGTGTGTGTGTGTGAAAGAGAGATGGAAAGCATTGGGGAAGGGAATGTTGGGGCGAACGATTGGGTCGGCAGGTATAATTATGTTATTAGATAATTGAGAAGAGACCATGTAACGATTCATGTGGAATAAGAGTTAGAGTACAATTAAATTCATAGTGTAGCGATTTAGGCCTAGTTACACGACACCAGCATGCCAAAGTAGTCCAGTTAAACGAATGTTGTTTTATTATATTAATACGCACATACATGCGAATATAAAGCGCTTGTAAATAAACTTTAGTTCTAATTAGTCTGAGCTTCTGCGTTTTCGAGCGCAATTGAATTGGGTTTATTTATCTTAGCTCCCAAAGCTTGAAACTTTACTCACGTCTGCACGTAAGACATGCATGAGCAGGCACACTAGATATACTATACCTATTCATTGTTCTCTAAAACATTCCATTTGTGTACACTCATTCATCTATCTATCTTTCTCCCCCTTCCTTTCAACCCTGCATCGAGATTTAGAGAAATAATGCTTCAAGTTCGCACTGACAAAAAGTTCAACGGGTGCTTCCCGCGATAAAGAATGAGGCAGAGTATGTTCTTAGAAAAATCCGGCACAACAGCAGACTGGGACAAAAAATCGGGATACACGCGATCGAAATCGGGAAAAACCAGGATGCTTGTGGCTTGAGATTGGGGGCAAAAAATCGGGATGAGCGGCGGGTCTGATATTCACTGCTGGTCTCTGCTGTGCTAGCAGTGTGGCCAGAGCCACAATCGAGAGACCGGGAATTCCCAGAGTACTGTAACTACCACCGTAAGCCTGTAAAGTATTCGGCATTCATGATGGGTCACAGGTTCAGCCAACCGTAGCTTGGTTCACGCCCTGCGTGTAGTCGCATGTGTCAAAGACAGGACACTAAAGCCAAAGGTAAAACCGAGCTCAAGTACAAGACCAGCCGGTGATCTTGTAGTTCCGTTCGTTAAAGTCCACGATCCATTTGTTTGCATCCAGAGAAGAAATCCAGAAGTCTTGAAGACCAAATACTATTTGAATTAGGCTACACAAAGAGCAGGGATGCAACCAAACTGCAAAACATCAAATTAGGATAAAATTCAGGGGGGCATGCCCCCCTGAAACCCCCCTACTCCTGACTTTACTTTAACGAACGAAACTACAAAATCGCCGACCAGCCTACCCTACAACTACAGTACAGTCAACGGCACGGAAGCCCAAGTTGACATCAGTATAGCAATCTTGAATGAAGAAGCTGGAGGCAAAATTATCTGAACATAGGGTACACATATAAGCAGAGGATCATGAAAAGGAATCTGTGCTTTTTCGGTAGATCTAGATTCTAGATCCCACCCCCCTTATTTGAGACTGACCTACATCGAGATCTAAATCTAGGCTATGCTATACGTTTGATGCGAGCTAAGATATCAAATGTAACAACTGCAAAACGTCAAATTATGGTAAAATTTAGGGGGGCATGACACCGGCGCTATTTCGGTAGTTCCCACCCCGCAATCGTTATTCACGGGTTTTGACCCCAAGAGTAGATAGGAAGGGGGGTTTCAGGGGGGCTTACCACAATTTAATGTTTTGCTGCTGTTAGGTTTGATATCTTAGCTCACCGCGAATCAAACGTATAGATCTAGATGTAGGTCAGGCTCAAATAAGGGGGATGGGAACTACCGAAAAAGCACCGCATGACCCCCCACCAGGCTCAAGCCCCCAGTCTTGAGGCCAAAACCGGCGAATAACAATTGCGAGGTGGGAACTAGAATCTAGGCCTACCGAAAAAGCGCCAAGGAATCTTGATAAACGTGTATTAATTCATAAAAACAAAGAGTTCTAGATCTAGATCTAGAATCTATATCTAGCAGACCCAACAATTAGAAACAACACCGCACATTCATGCATCCATTTTTCGATAACTTACCAACGGGCTGGTCGACGACCCATCTTGGCCTGTAGACACAAAATAAATGAACGTGCTCAATGAAAAGTTGTTATAAAGATGTCTAAAATAAACAGTATGTCAGAAATATATAAAATAAAAAGTGATGATTCACGATGAAATACGATTTAATAAACGAAGTAACTGACGCAGTACCTTGTTTTCAGGGGACCAAGATAAAAAGAGAAAGACAACTCTTGAAACAGGAAGTAGGTGTCATGTGATCACTGTAGACTAGAGTTATCCTTTGGGAAGAGTAAAGTGGGCGAGTGTTATTGTTTGTCATATTGTGAGAAGGGGATGTAGATCTATATTCTAGAATATAGTATCTCTAGAATAGATGTGTAGCTTTACGTTTGTAGAAACATAATATACTGACTTATTTATGATGAAGAACACAGAAAAAGGCAGCTGTTAGTTGTGACAGTCATGAGTGGTAAGCCATTAGTCTATTCTAGTTTTAGTGTCATGTTTTGCTTTTTTTCTGATTTGACTCATGATTGAGAGTGAGAGCGACGAATCTTGACTTGATTTGTTGGTGACTGGTCTGACTACTGACTCTTGTCAACTAGATTCTAGATCTAGACTGAATCTAAATCTAGATATCTAGATACTCTAGACCTAAATCTAGATCTAGCCTGGTGAGATTGCAATGAAGGTGAAATTTAATTTCAGAAGACAAAAAAATAAACGAAGTGATTATTCGGACTCGATTACGAATATGAAAAAATGTTATTCGGACTCTGATTCTTGTCCAGCATGACATCACTTCCGACTTCCTGTGACTCGTGAATCCGACTTCCTGTCCTGCCTCACTCTTGACTCGCCTCAGGCTGGGTAGAGATAGGGATCACTTTGGGCAAAAAGGCGTTTTGTGCAGGAGCCGAGTTTTAATCTTATGATGAATTTGAGGCCGGCCTGAAAAGTTATAGAGTAATCGTACCGGTTCGGGCAGCACGTTTTTTTTTTTCTGTCGGGCACTGGAGTACAAAAAGATCGTTTAAAACTTTGTTTTCAAATCTAGCCCCAAAAGAGTGGCACACAAACCTAAAGCAACCTCCCTTACTTTCGTTGAAACAACAGTACAGTTACGGCGATATTTTGCTAAAAATAGTCCTTAAGCCTTAAGACAGCTTTTTCTTCATCAACTGAGCAAAGGCAAAACAGCGTGAAGCTCTTTTCCCGGAAGAGTTAACATTGGTTGTGGATGAAGGAGCCTGTGACCTAGATTCTACGTTTTGGTAGACTCTGAAGGCTGGAGAGTTATTTGCATATGAGGCCCTGTCAAGGATGAAAGAGAATTTGCCGTTTAGTCAGTCTCGCCGTTTTTGCCCAAAGGGGGGGTGCCCGGATTGTAGCATAAAATCCGTAGTTTCTCATCCTTCGGGCACATAAGTCCATAAGATAATATAGAGCCAATGGTATCTATAACAAAGAATAAAGAATTTGTGCATAATTTAAATAATAGTTGAGTCAGATACAGCATATTAACTCAGTCAGACACCAGTGTAATAGAGTCAGATACCTGTGTGTAATACAGTTGGATATCAGTGTAGCCGAGTCAGATCCAGTGTTGTTGAGTGAGCCAGATGCCAGTGTAGTAGAGTCAGATACCACGTAGTAGAGTGGGTCAGATACATACTCATTAAAATAGTTATAAGTGCTGAATACCACTTTAGACAAACTATCATTGTGTCCAAGTGTTGATAACAAACATTAAAAATCATGTTATTAAGCTTGCAAAGAAACAAATGTGATAATAATTGAAAATGACCGAATGTCAAAATACTGCCCGAATGAATGAGAAAACCAAAAAAATGCGACTGAACTCGTAAATAAATCGGGCGTCACTTTTGCACCCAGTAAGGGCCTCAAACATGAGAACAAGCTGAAACAGGTCATTCCTGGGGTCATCCAATCACATGACTTCCTGTAGCTGGTTTCGGTTTGTCTCTAGGGCAAGGCAGATAGGAGATATAAAGTCAACGTGCCTGTTTTCGTCCTTATTTTGACCGAACCGGTAATATTACTCCAGCGCTTCTAATAAATGTTTTTTTATCAAGAGGTCACCAGAAGCAATTAAAGATGGCTCGTCAGCATGTGTCGGGGTCGGATGGGCGACCTGCACACGTGTGGCTGTGTGCGTGTCGGGGAGGGTGGTGGGGGGGGGCACTATCGGTCCGGGCTTTGAACGTCGCATAAGCCACGGCGTCACTTTTCGCCCGATTCTGTTACTTTTAGTTCGCGTGACTCAGCAGCCCGCCGGAGCTCCCCGACTCGGGGTCACGGGGT